GAACCTCAGAGAACTTCATAATTCCTTATGCCACCGTGGGGTTTGCAATTTCATAAGAGCTCGCAATTAACCGTTCGCGGTAGAAGTATGCAATCTAACAATATATATATGTATATATATATATATATATCCGCAGAAGTAGAGTGGTTTCAGTGTGGTCGGTTGAAATTGCCAAATTTTTTGTATATAACTATGACTAATAGGGATACTCGGACCCCTGGATTGCATCCACACCCACTGATTAGCTAATGAGCCCCAGTGTCAACCTTGCTGCCCACCATCACGCATGGGCTACCATCATTAGAGACATCCAAGAAGCCGACTTGTTTTCCCGCATGAGTTAGTTGCTCAAAAGCAAAAAGTAAAAAAGAGCAATTTTACTCTAGGAAATCACTAACTTTAACCCCAACCTAATTGCCCAAAAATTGGCACATTTGAAAAAAACACTAATTACGTATCATAGAATATGTCCGACATAAAATAAACCATATCTGAATGAAAACTGATCCGGCAACTTTTGTGAATGGAAACTCGAATCAAGAATCTTCGGGCTGGGAGCCAAATATTGTAAAATGAGGAATAAACGAACTCCTATGGACTGGGACCCATAAAATAGCATCCATACGCAGACTTTGGAAGCTGTGAATTCGACTAGAATAACCAAAATTCTATTTATTTTGAACCTGACAATGTTTCACCTTGAATGGAGGTTGTCGTATGTTTAAATAGAAATCCAACAAATCAACCGGATACATCACAACTATATTTCAGGACGACTGAGAGACAAAAGGTACCTCCAAAGATAGGCGGAACCAAACCTGCACAAAGAATCACTCCGTACATGTGCACAAATGAGCAGACAAAATAGCCATAGTCCGGGACAACCACAAGCATTTTGGAGTTTTTTTCTTGAGTAAAAATACAGCTGCATTTCTGGTAATGCGATAAGAATGGGGAGCTCACGCGTGAGTGGCAGGTGATAAAGCTCGTTCCTCACACTGCGGAATAAACCACCTAACGGTGTACGAATACAAATGCACGCACACGCAGATGTCGAAATAAGCATGCGAATTTGATTAGGGCACTCGCACCCGGCCAGTCCACAGTAAATTCAAGGTTCTGTGGTTCTCTTGGACCTGGCTGAGTTCCATCGTTTTTGAGTTGAGAAAGTTTTGAATACAAGATTGAATTGAAGATTAGAACAGAACTGGCGGGACAAAGAAAAGAACGAGATAAGGGGAAACGAGCAAATTGGAACGCATGTCTGTGAAAGTGGAACCAGAGAGAAGCGAATGGTATGAGTGCGTTTTTTCTCGGCCCCGGACGACGGACGCACACAAGAAGATTCAGCCGGGATTCAAAATGGAGGCAGTTCAGCAGTTTTAATAGAAAAACAAAAGAACGGTTTGGGTGGGGTTAACGGATCAGATAGCATTATTAGTAATAGCATGTAGCCCATGAGGTACGATGCAGTGGACCACTGGACGTCTGGAGACTAGGCTTTCTCTTCGTCAGCTTTCGGGGAGGCTGCGTTCTCTTCTGAAAGGACAGAAAAGCCAGTTGGTCAGTTTATAAAAATTGAAGTCTTACCTTCGCAGGGCATGTCGGATGTCCACAGGGTTAGATTATCTCGCAACAATTGCATGATTAAAGTGGAATCTTTGTAGCTATCATTGTTAAGCTGATCCAACTCGCAAGTAGCACAACGGAATGCTTCGTTGGCAAGATGACATGCTCGCTCCGGTGTGTTGAGAATTTCGTAGTAGAACACAGAGAAGTTCAACGCTAAACCCAATCGGATGGGGTTTGTAGGGGGGAGGTGTTCATTGGCAATATCTGAAGCTGCTTTGTAGGCGACTAGGCTTTGTTCAGCCGCGTTGTTCCGCTTATCCCCAACCATGAACTCGGCCAAATAACGATAATAATCACCTTTCCTGGAAGGATAGAATGAAGAAGACAAACGATCACTTACATTTTATAATAGAAAACTTTACACTCGGGAGTTGAGGCTGATGGGATTAGGTGCTTATCAAGCAGACCCAAAACCCGTGTGCATGTGTCCTCTAGTTCACTCTCTACATGCTTCAGTAGCAGTTTTAGAGCTTGTTGACTGGCCGAATCTTCCTCGCTTTCCTTCTGTTCGATACTACTGAGCATGCGCCACGAGGAACGACGAGCTCCGATGACATTCTTGTACGCGACGGAGAGAAGGTTTCGCTCCTCCACTGAAAGCTCACCAGGCATGACGGCCACTTCATCCATCACCTTAACCATCTCTGCAAAATGAGAGAAAAGCATTACAATTGGTCAAAATTGGAACCATAAGCACGTCATGTTGAAGTGATTGCAGCGTCTTGGAAAAGTATGAAAGATCGATATCATCTATCCGACTTTATGTACCTGGTTTTGACTTACGAACTTATAACTACTTAAAGAGACGGTCGACAATAAAGACTGGGCACATCCCGGGACATACTAATACTGAGTTTAAAACGTCTCATGTACTTTTGTAAACGGGAATTGCAAGTACTTGAACAGTGAAATCTTAGTGGTCAAGTGGTGTAAGTCAACAACTTTCTTAAAATCATTGGATAGGACTCCTTCTTCCGGGAACTGTTGCGAAAACATGAATTTCTAGTCATTAGCAAATCACACTACTGTTAATACCATGAGTAAATGTCAGTTACCGGCACCTACTAGACGGTCACGGGAACTCAAGCACCGGCACATGGAGATACGAATAGATAGGGTACGGCATAAAACCGAACGATCAAACTGTTCATTAGGTGACAGTAGGACATGAACTCAAACCTACCCTGCGAATCAGTAAGCGCCATTCAGTTCGTTTCAGTTCAGTTTCTAAAACAGTTGACCGTGCAGTTTCGCGTGGCGATTGCTTGCTGTCTTTTGACTACCCATTCAAAAGGAGTAGGGGAAAGCGATCGACACAGCTTATAGGACTACTTCTGCCCATTGAAGAGGAAGTCTTTTAGTACACCTGTGCGATGAACAGTAAGCCCCATAGTCTCCAGGATCTACTATTCAGTCACGGAAACCAACAACCTAAGCCATGGCGAGTCACATAAAGACCCACCTATGCATTAAAATCAAACAGTAGACAACAATGACACCTATGAAAAAGTGACCGCACAAGACTGTTGGGATAAATGATACTACGTTTGCGAATGAACAGTATATTTGCAGGTGGGCAGCTTTTCTGTCGTCCGCACAACCTAGCGGGGTCACTCGCCACTCGGTGGCTTGAGTTACCAGTTTCCATCACTGAACATCATCATCACAGTACAGGGAAATACAGTGAAGCGAACTTCACTGACTGCTAACAAACTCGCAACGCATACAATTTTAGAAGTGAAATTTAAAGGTGACAGGGATTGGAGTAATTTTGAGGGAGGGAGACGAAGATGAACCTTTTTGGTCAATACAGATTACACAATTGAATTCTGCATACACTCCGTTTTGCTGCCATATCCTTCAATGTCGGCAACCAACCAGTCTCGGAATCCCTCAGCCCTGTGCGTTTCTTCATGTCTCGTCTCCACGTCATCGGTTGACCACGTGGTTTCCTCCAGCCCGAGGCGGCTACAGCGAATAAAGCCCAGCGCAGCAGACGACAGCGGGGCATAAGCAATACGTGCCCTAACCAGCGAAGTTTACTAATCTGAATTTGATGTGCTAGCAGGTTTGTACCTGATTAACTCCCAAACACATGACGGCTTACCTCCAGATTACTAACCCGTTCGCTCCATCCCATGTGGGTTAAACTGCGTAAACACCGATAGTCGAAAACTTCTAATCGATGAATATCTTCTACTCGCAAATTCAAGGTCTCAGCCATAAGGCAGAATTAAACGAACGGTAGCACATTATACATGACCTTTCAACTTCAGTGAAACGTCGCGTCTAGGCCAAAGGTATTTCAGTCCTGCGCATGCCGCTCGAGTCTTAGAAATGCATGCAGCTATCTCCTTTGCTGCGCCACCGTCATTGGTCACGCAACTACCTAAGTAATCTACCATAACTGATTCCTGGTCATTCAGTTTCGGAGCGGGAATAGGCGACACCCAGTCCTGCAGCATCACTTCGCACATCAAAGGTGTATATCACATACCGAATATGGCAACAGCACTTGTTACTCTATCAAGTGCGCCTTGTGCACCCTCCGTACATTTGAACAGACGGACGATGTCATCGGCGTACTCCAAAGCGCAGAGCTTTTCCCCATTTACGTTTTGGAGACCACTTGGTGCATTCTCCCGTATTTCGTCTACGACGGAATGGAACAGGAATGGCGAAAGAGAGCACCGTTCACGAACGCCGTCGCAGGTGACGAACGGCCTACTTAGATTGTTGTAAACCCTCACTCGACTAGAGGTGAGTACAGTGACCTCAGTAAGTTAACGTACTCCCGGGACATTCCTTCTCGAAGGGAACTTATAAGAGCTTCGCGGTCAACTGAATCGAAGGCTCATTTCAGCTCAAGGAACACTACGAACCGTTCTTCGTGACTATGTGGTCCACCGCGTGTAATGAAAATGTTACTGGATCGGAAACGTTCCGCTGTCTAACGAAAAATACAAGAAGCAACCATGAAAATGCTTAAATGAATGAAGTCCAGGAGTAAGTAAAACTGCCTCAAATTTAAACTGACAGTATTTGTTACTCAAAAGAAGCAAACCCCAACATACAGTTTGTGGACAAACATGCCAGTCGGGTGACAGCGGAGTTTTCCATCAATCGTATGTGCAACGCTATCTGTACACTTACTACTTGGAAAGGATAAGCCGGCTCCAGATAGGATCACGATCATGAAGTTACTTGGGAGTTCGGTACGAGACGTCCCCAGTGTCACTCGGCGTTTCTTTTTTATTTTGAGGTTGAATCTCTAGCCTCTACACAACCAAGCGCGAACTGGAAGGCAGCAGAAAGCAGTCCCTCGCCTCGACCTTTGTCAAGACACCGTCATTGGTCTTATGCGTATTTTGAACAGAAGCCAGGTGACCAGCCTGAAACCCACCACACCCTGAAGTGCCGCCGCTGTTTGTTCGCGACTGCTTACTTGTTGCGGTACGCCACAACTTATGCACAGCTAACCTTCGGTGAAGGTATCTTCCTATCCACAACCCGGGGACGCGCCTGGTAGCAGTCAGCTCTGTTTTAACCCGAGGGTATCCAGGCGCTCCACTATTGCACCGTAACGATGAGGATCAATCATCATCGTACAGTGAGGCGAACTTCACTGATCGCTGCCAAAAAACGATGAGGATAATATTGCAACGGGAAGTAACGCGGTAGCAGGCAGTTAAACGATCGTCAGGCCTTATATTGTCTAGCTTCCCGTGATTTGCCACTAGGCCATATGGGTTGCACCGGCACCCGTCGCCAAACGATTGGTCTATTTGGTCAGAGGTGTAGTCTAAACCGTTTACCACTTCAAGGTTAAAGATAAAAGAGTAAACCTGACAGATCTGATACATAAAGAGAACAGGTAGTGAAAGAAGTCCTGCAACCCGGAGTAGTGATCAACAAAGCCTAACACAAGATGGTTTTAGAAACTTCAAACAGTGGATCCCCTTTATCTAATTCGTTGGGACAGAGAGAAAACAAATACTGCGATGTGCTAACATTTCTTTTATTCTCCTCAGACACGACAACGTAAAACAATCTGGTATTTAGCAAGAAAGTTTTGACAACGGACAACAGTCAGAGAATGGGGGAAATCAGAACATTTCCCTCGATGTTGACTTGTGTGCTTTATAGTTTACTATAGTTTACTTAACATATTGGGCATTGTTCAAGTGCTTTTGATTCTATTACCCAAATAATTTTGGATAACAGCAGATAAGGCGAACTCCATAGTCAAGAGGAGCTACATTTTTAGTAGTGGAAACCGACAACCTAAGTCCCGGGACTTGGAGTTGTGAACCACATAAGGCCCCGATGGGTTAGGCGCGGTATTGAACCGGACGACAGCAGAGCTGCTTACTTACGTATTATTGAGTTTTGAGAGAATACCATGGCAAAAAATACCTTGGTTTTAATCTTATCTAAGACAATGCAGGGGTAAAATGGGGGCTTCACTAAAGAGCACTCCAAGGGCAGACAATGATGGAGATAAAAACCTTGAATCCAGCGACCTTCCGGCGGGCACATCACATTAGCATGGAATTCGGGAATGGAGAATACAAATACCAACCCATAATCCAATAAACAGTATACTGGAGGTCCGATCGGATATTCGAAGATGATCTCGGTTGTAACGACAGATTTCCCAATGCAACATATAGAAAATAATATTGAACCAATTCTATTTGGATGTTAACTACTCAACCAGTCAGCTGGTATTGGATTCGACTTTGCTAACAAGCTATGACTACACCAATTGCAACACATTACCGTAATTTAAATGATTTTTCAACGGTTACTTCCGAGTGAAAAGTCAGCACGTGTCCACAAGAACCACATGCAAATAAACTCAGGTGTCGCTTGAGCAATCAATACCGTCAAGCAGTTATTCGCTGCGAAAGTAAAACCACATCGACGTCAAAAACTTAAGGTGCTGAAGCTACACATAATCTGATCTTTAACATCATGACCGATAACAGCGCATTAGCCTTAACTAAAACGCGAAATCATTCATTACCTGGGTCTGCATGAACAAAAACGACTACAGAGACATATTATCTTATTATTTCAGCTAAAACACATGAATGGGAACCTAAGTGACAGCTGACAACGCGCATATTCCATGAGAAAACAACGAGATAAATACTAATCATGCATCATTGGCCCGGCAAGGAAAAACCGTGATAGATAGTTTGGTGGAAAGGTTACTCACCATCATACCGCTCCGATTGCTCTGCCAGCTTAGCAAACAATACTTTATTTTCACGCTCAGTAGTCATTATTCCCAAGGGCACAACGGACAGATACGGCGGGNGGTTAAACACGTGAGAATGATACACAAGTGAATGGTTAAAACAAAACACTATAAGAGAAGGAAAACCCTATTCGGCGTTCAAAAATTTTCTTGAATATTTACCTTTTCCACCTTTCACCTTTTAGGTGCACATGTCTCTTCGAAGTGAGGGTTCCTCCACTTCATCCTTCGCCATTAATTAAAGCCGTTGAAGTGTCTTCAGTTTCGATCTACTGTTACATGCCAGTGTTTTCAAGTTTGCTTAACAACTCAGAATTAATGACTGCTTAATGCAAAATACCTTTCTTGACGCTGCACGTATTCTTCGATTGTTGCT